CCGTTCATAATTTGCTCAATTTTGATGATATAGGTCTGAAATTTTTATAGGAGATGTACAATCTTCTTATCTTTCAATTCACTTAATGCAGTTTTCGACATTTACTTATTAAAATAAAAAGCTATTACGTCGTAACATGATAAATTATTTCCGTTTTGTAATTTATAAATTCTGATATATACAAATATATCCGGATAAATTTGCAAAAATATATTTGGATATATTCGACCACCCACGCATTAATTCGCATATTCCAAATATATCCGCATATATCCGCATATATCCGCATATTATAAAATTTATCCGGATATATTCGCCCTCAAAAATTTCCTGATGTTATATGTATATGCTTCTTTGGCAATCCATTCAGCTACAAATTTCTTCCATGCATACTGTGTTAAACAATTGGCAGCTTGATTTTTGATAGAATTTTGTAAAATTGAACAGGTGGAATAAACAAGTTCCTTGTATGCCGAAATCTGCTTAGCTTCCTCATGAGCATCAAGTGTCCGTTCAAATGTTGTAAGAAATTCTGTGAGCATAGATTTACTATCAAGGAAACCCTTTAATAATTTGTTCATTGATTTTTTCCTCTGTGTTGATGACATATCAGCAAAGAAATAGTCTTTGAGGTATGCTGGGGCCCACCGTTCATGCCACTTGTTAAGGGCATCTAAGTATGATCTCATTTCAGCATAGTCATTATTTACAAGAAATAGTCTTTGAGGTATGTTGGGGCCCACTGTTTACACCACTTGTTAAGGGTATCTAAGTATGATCTCACTTTAGTATAGTCATCATTTACCATTATACGATTCCATTGTTCTTCAAACTCAGATTAATTGATACAATAATTAAAACACTTAACAAGATCTGTATAAAACTCTGAATACTTTAATCCAAGCTTAGAAGTCATATTGGACTTAATGTTCTTAAGCATATGCCATATATAAAGGCCGTGCTTGGTGCTATGCTTATCAGTTAAGATGGAATACGGGAGGTCATTGTCTGTGAGAATGGTTTGTGGTGCAGTAACAAAAATGTGAATGAAAGACTCAAAAAACCATTCAAAACTTGAACAAATTTCATCCTGAAGTAATGCACCAGTAACACAATAAGAATGATCATTATTAGTAACACCCGTGAACATCCCAAAAGGCATCAAAAAATAATTACACTTATATATATTATTGAATACGATCGTATCATGGAAATGTATGTATTGCCATTTTTGTAATGCATATGTCCAAATAACAAGTTTCAAATGGTTATCATGGTTCAACTCGAATTTGAAAGAAAATTCTGGATCGTTACTACATTTTTGCTGGAGGAAAAGAAGGAAATCCTGTGCTTGAAATCCAATATGTGAAATGCAGTCACTACTAATTAAGTTGTATACATCTTAGATCATCCATTTCTTCGTAGCTGGTCCATACTTTACAAGTAATGATTGGATCTGTGATGTTGAAATGCCTGCTTTTTTTACAAGAAGTATTTCCTTCTTAATATCTGCTGATATTTCATGGTTCAAAATGCACATAAGTCAAATTGGAATTAGTAGGTAATTATGGTCAAGAACAGTTTGTGAAATATAATATTTATCGTCATCTCGGTTAAGATTAAGATGAATAAACCAGGGAAAATTGCATTTTTTTGATTTCGCGTCTCGCCTTTTTTTATTAGGATCTTTAGGTTTAGGTTTGAATTCGTCATATCGATTGTATACAAAAACTTGAGTGTAACGCACACCATCACTACGATTATTGCCTTTGTAGAGAATCACCTTAAACTCATTTGTTATAGTATATTAATCGGCAACGTATTTAAAGGCTTCAAGAGAGAAATAAGCCTGACCAAGCTGAAAAAGTAGATCTTCGGGTTCTAAATTTTCAAGTTCTAACAAGTCTTAGAGGTTTTTAGGTTCTAACAAGTTTCCAGATTCCAATGAATTTTCGGGCTCCAATAAATTTTTGGGCTCCAATGGATTTTCAGGCTCTTTTAAAATGTTTAGTTTATGTACTTTTCAGAAAATTACACAAATCAATCATATTAAACTTATCACTGATCATTATTGTTCTTGTAGTGTAATATTAGCCATTAATTTATAAAGTTTAGTAGGATACCACTTTTCAAGAATATTAAATTTCTTAACTGGGATGTACCATTACTTAGGTTTTATGTGGAACTGACAATTTCTATTAATACAGTGTACCGTTAGAAGGATACTTTTAAACAAAAAAAATTCGTCTTTAAAGAACAAATGTTTATGAGAATTTTTTATTTTGTATTATACTGTTTATATTTATGATTGAGATCTAACTGAAATCACGTGATAACATGCATAATGACGTAAGGTAGATCATGTAACAAACAAAGTATTTTGATTGGTTGTAAGGCCAAAGATATATAAGCAATATATCTCTGACCAGAGATACCTATAATTTCCCATTATTAATTTATTATTAAATCATATAATTAATACAATTTATTTTTTAGATATAATTTTTTTCTTTTTTTTAGGTGATTTAATAATATATTTTTGTCACACGGTTGCTAATAGAGAATGACAGTAGAATAAGTGATAATTTATTGGGCAATTAAATTGTGATAATTAATATATTAAATTAAATAAATAAATTAAGACTCATCTTAAGCTCACGAGCTTAAGACAAACCTATATTAGGTTCATTAGGCTTGCAAGCTTGATTTGAACTTTACAAGTTGAGCCTTAGTCTGGCTTGAGCTTATGAGTCCTGGACTCATGAACTTACAAGTCTATAATATTAGATTTGACTTGGTCAGGCTTGACTGAACTTGTTGGGCTCACGAGCCTTAAGATCTATGGAAAGCTTTAATCTTATATTTATTATTGCTTTTATTCTTTATCTATAATGATAGACAATTATTATTATATTATTAGTTTTATTACAAATTGATGATCAATTGTCCATTTCATATTTATTTATTTTAATTACATGTTGATTTTCTATTTTAAATCTGATTCTTTATTATCATTTTATTCCATCTAACAAATTTATACCAAATAAATATGAAAGTGTATAACTATCATTATTAGGATTAACATTGCAAGTTCAATTTGGACTAAAATAAAAAAATTATTAGTTTTTTTTTTTAAAAAAAATGATATAAATAAAATATAATTATCTAATAATCTAATATAAGATTTTTGTTTTTTATATGAGATTATATTTATATATTTTACACTTTTCATCATTTTTCTCCAGGTACATAACTCTTATTTGTGACTTGATAGATAATTTGTTAATTCTATAATATTTAATTTTTTTTTTCCTTATAATCATAAAATTGTATCCAATTAAAACTAACAATTACAATTTTTCTTTTTTAGATATTCAAATACTTGATTCATTATTTCTATATTTTTTTTTGAATTAATTAGATCAGGATGTTTCAAGTGTTGAAATTATAGTTTCACATTTTTTCCAAACATTATAAAAAAATAATTTTTTCTTATTTTGAAAATCTTTATATAATACTTTTTATTTTCAATTTCTTGAATAAAGACTTTGTTTTCCTTGATATTTGTACATAAAACATGAACTATATTGTTATTGAAAACTTTATTACAAAAACAGAAAGTTTATCTATTGTTATTTTGAAAGGATAAAATAAAACATCAAATAATAATTATGAATAATATTTAATATTTCATTATCAAAATCTAGAAAAGAAGGCCCAGAATATCATGTTCCAGTATTAAAAAATTGTTTGTAAGTTTAATTTATAGTTTCTGAAGCAGTAATATAAATTCTTGAAGTCTTATCTGACTCACATATGTAGCCTGGTTTAATATATCTTCTGTACTAACAATATAATAAAATTTGGTTTTGTCATTACTATAGGTTTTTTTTTATTAGTAAAAAGCCAAAAATTTATTGCATATCGACTGTAATGGAATTCTGGGATAAGGTTACTAGCTGAAAATAACTGTATTTTGTTTTTTTTTAAAGGAGATGGAAAATTTGTTTTACCGTAATTAAAAATTTTCTATCTAATCCACATGGATTACGAATTAGTTTTAGCCTGGTTAGAACACTATGACACTATGAGGAAAAGAATATATAAAATATAATAGATACAAAATAAATAATAAATAAGAATATAGAATAAAATAATACACTTTTTTTATGATTTTCTAACTTTAAATAACTCCATAATCATCTAGATTTATTACTACTCAAAGCTATCTGCTAATAGTGGAATTAAATAAGCCTATAAGGATAGCCAATAACTAATAAGAAATTACTTGACGGTATTTATTTAATAAAATATTTTTCGATTTTTAAATTTCTTCGAAAAAATAAATAAATTATAATTGGCTGGAATATCACCTATCTAAAATTCTTTCATGTTATCAATGAATGGTTCTTTCAATACTTTCATCGCTTTTTAAACCTACAACGCTTTTATATCCATTCTCCATCTACAGTATAATCATTAATAAGATTCGTGATCAAATTTTTATAAACAACGCAATATTTGCACATGTGCTTTATTAGATAATTCAAGTATCTATAATGCAGCCAGGGGGAGAAGAAATCTTGAAGAAACAATCTTGACAATATGCTCTTCCGGACTGGCATTCCCCAGCCTTCAGCAACGACATACTAAAACGGCTCGATAAAATCTGTTGCAGTATCATCACTTTGTAGAAAAAACTAATTTATTCGTTATTAACCTGTGGTAAAACTTCCAAGACTTTTATTTTCCGTTCATTATCAATTATTTTTATTAAGGCTGAATTGACGGCATGGTCCGCTAAAGTTCTAATCTCATCATATCTAACTACATTATTGTCATTCATAGCTAAATAAACTACACTTGCTCCACAAACGGCATCTAAATGTCCGGTTAATAAAAGGTTTTCGATTTGAGTCAATAAGTTCGACATTATGAATGCTTTAAAAAATTATAGATTGAAGGTGTTGTTGGCACGAAAGAAATATAAAAATTTATAAAATCACTATAAAAGTATGTAACAATGACTTCATTATACTACCGTTTTCGCATTTTCTATTTCTGGTTTAGGTATTTTGAAAGACAAGAAAGCAGATTTAAAGATTTATGTCACGTTGACAAATCAATCACAAAATATAAATTTCAAATTATATAGATCTGCGATAGATTAATACTTTATAAAATGGTATCTAAAATATCTAAAATACAATTTTTTTTTTGATTTTTATTTAGATATTTTATATCTATCTATTCTAACATTTTATATTTTTTTTTTATAGAAAGTTAAAGTTCTTACACGTTCCGCTTCAGATTATATTCGTGAAACTCCTCATGACATTCATAAAATTAAAAGAAACTTAGATCCCAAAATACATCCGTTTGAAAAAGCTCGCGAATATAATAGAGCTCTTAATGCTGTTAAATTGGAACGCATGTTTGCAAAACCTTTTGTAGGAGCTTTAAGTGGTCACTCTGATGGTGTATACTGTATGGCTAAACACCCAAAAAAATTAACAACATTTATTTCTGGGAGTGGTGATGGAGGTAACTATTATTTACTTTTTCAATATAATGTTGATTATTTCGATAAAATGTTAGATCAATTGTCATTAACTATTATCAATTGTAAAATAGAATTGAGAATTTGGGATTTGACCGAACGAATAACTACATGGAAAGTTGCTGGACATAAAAGTATTATCAAAGGTGTTTGCTGCAGTCCAGTAAACAATAACCTTTATTTTTCATGTGGAACTGATAAAACAATAAAAATCTGGAATCCTGAACAATCGAGAGAAGAACCATTAAACACATTTATTGGAAAATTCGCATATAGGTATTAACTGCTTTTTTAACCACATTTTTCCAATTTCATATAATTTATCTAAATGTATTAATAGGAGTATATTTTGATATTTTTTGTTTTAGCGCAATAGATCATCATCGTTCAAATTCAATATTTGCGACATCTGGATCACAAATTGATGTTTGGGATGAAAATAGGTGATTCATCTTTTATTCAAGGTTGGATCAAATTATAAGACAAAGTTTATTCTAAATAAATATAATTAATTGATTGTTATTATAATAGATCGAATCCTATCAAAACTTTTACATTTGATTCTGAAATGACGAATACTGTTCGATTTAACCAAACCGAAGTAAACATTTTAGGTAGTTGTGGGACGGATCGTGAAATAGTACTTTATGATCTTAGAATGAATTCACCTTTGAGTAAATTAGTCATGAAGGTAAAAAGATAATATTTATTTTTTTATTATTCTTTATTTACACTTATTTACGTTTATTTACCCATTTCATTTGTTTTCATTTTTAGATGAAGACCAATGCTCTCGCTTGGAATCCAATGGAAGCATTCATTTTCGTAACCGTATGTTATTCTTTTATTATTTGTTATTATTATTATTATTATTATTATTATTATTGAATATTAATTAATTGCATTGATTTTTAAATTTTATTAATTTTATAGGCAAATGAGGATCAAAATTGTTACACTTTTGATATGCGTAAAATGGATTGTGCTTTAAATGTTTTCAAAGATCATGTTTCAGCAGTGTGAGTGTAAAAAATGAGAGTGAGTAATGATAATAGTGGCTTTATATGTAAAATTTTGTAACATAAATTAATACCATATTTATTTCACATGATTGTTTTATAATTTGTGTTAATAGATTAGATGTAGATTATTCTCCAACAAGTGAAGAAATTGTTACTGGTGCATACGATAAAACTATTCGTATTTTTAATGCACGTCAAGGACATAGTCGTGACGTTTATCATACAAAACGAATGCAGCGTATTTTCTGTGTTAAATATAGTATGGATTCAAAATATATACTTTCTGGTTCAGATGATGGTAACGTTAGACTTTGGAAAACAAATGCATCGGAAAAAATTGGACCGGTAAGTGGGATTATAAGTAATTATTTTGTAAAATTTAAAGTGTAGGTGTTTACATTATGTAAATTTAATTCATATTCTCAAAATTATTTATAGAAGGATTTCAGAGAACGAGCTCATCTAGAATATTCAGATCGACTAAAAGAAAGATATAAAAGTCTACCGGAAATAAAAAGAATTTCAAGGTATTTATTATTATTATTATTATTATTATTATTATTATTATTGTTTTTTTCTTTTTTCTTTTATAGATTCAGTAAATACATATATTTATCAATATTTTAATTTTTTTATATAGACATAGAAATATTCCAAAAGAAATAAAAAATGCCCAATATAAAAAACGTATTATGCTTCAATCTCGAAAACAAAAAGAAGAGAATTTGCGCAAACATTCAAAAAAGGGTTCGGTTCCATATCAAGCAGAAAGAAAGAAATCTATTATTGGTATCGCCAAATAACGGTTCTAATGCATATAAAAATTCAAGATTTAAAGAGATATTTCTAATTCAACTCTTAAGCAAAATGATATTTGCAATGCAAATATAAATGAACACAACAATTTGTTTGATATTTAAATTATTATTTAATTAATTAAACTGAATAAAATCTTAGTTATTTTTCTAAAGATTTTATGGGAATTAGTATAGACGCTGACTGATAGATTGCTGCTACATCTTTTGGTTTGCAAATGTGAAAAAAAAAGGCATTGATGTCTAAATAGTAAATGGTGGTTCAATAATTAGAGAAATAAATTTTATTTTCTTATATGTGAAAATTCTAAAGAATATATTGTTCGATTATAATTATTTATTTTTACTTATTTACATATTTTAAATAAGCAAGATTAAAAATAAAAAATATAAAATTTCGAACCGGGATTTTTTAATTTCTATATTTAGGAACTAATATCATTCATAATTAGAGATGAACTTTTTCCCACATACACATGCATAGATTTTAATCAAGGAAAATAATTGAATTTATAACACTTTCCAAAACTGTATACCTTATTAAGGAACATAACGTGCTAAATAATTAAAAAAAAAAAAAAAAGAAATATAAATAAAATAAATAAAATTTATTTATTATAACATAAAGAAACTTACTTTGATATTCAGCAAGAACTTTAGCAGAAGATTTGGCATCATAAAATAAGTCATCAACTTCTTTGATATCTTCCAATATAATATTATCTCGTCCATTAACTCTAGCAAGAACACTTGAAGGTGTAAGTAATTGAATAACATATCTATATAAATGCAAAATAAGTATTAAATGTAAAAATATAAAATAATGTAAAGTATAAAATAATGTAGAGTATAAAATAATGTAAAGTATTAAATGATACCTCAAGGAAGTCTTGACACCTGATTCAGCCAAATGATTCAGAGAATCTTCTGATAAAGTTAATCCTTCGGTCTTTGCTCGTATTTGGATTATAGATTTTATGTCATCTAAAGTATAAGGAAGTGTTCGGATAATCAAAATTCTATCAAGCAAATCCACTGGAATACCATGAGGAGCAATAATATCTTCTGTTCCCCTAAAATTTATCAAATAAATTATTTATTAGGATTGATTTTGGTAAAGAATTATAATTATTTTTTATAACTATAATTAATTAATTAATAAATAAATAATAAATGAATACAAATAAATACGAACTTTTCTTTCTTTACCTTATTTGACACATTCCTCTATTTGTTGCAAATATTACTATTGGTGATATAGATGATTCCAGTGCTTTATTTAAATAAGTAAAACATTCAATATCCAACAAGTGAACCTTAAATTATATCCATTTCGTTAAATAATGAAAATAATTTGAATAAATAATTTAAATATTTTGAATTACCCATTAACAAATAAAATATAACTAAAAATAATCAAGTTAACATTAAAATTAATTTACCTCATCAATAAATAAAACTCCGGGAACCAATTCCGCAATACCTTGATCTATATATTTATTAACTATTTTATTTATCTCTTTTCTTAATTTATCCGTAATTTCGGTCTTTTTAGGTTTTAATAATTGACCCATCATAGACATAATATCTTGTCCACCCTTGTTTTAAAGAAATTATAAAGAAATTATAACGAAAAATAAAAAATTAAAAGTCGTTTTCTTTAAATGAAATTTGCTGCTGATAAATATAATAATAATAATAATAATAATAATAATTACTTGTGGTCGTGCATTTGCTATATCTAAATCATTTAATGTAACATCTTGCACAACTTCTTTCTTTTTATGAACATCTCCTTTCGGAAGAGGAACATATTCTTCAGCTTCTAAATCAAATTCGGTAGCATAAGCATCAGATCGTCCAACCCTCTGATTATAAAAAAATATAACGTTAAAAAATCACAATTTTATTCATTCTTAAAAACAATATTACTTACTTTCACTGCTCCTGTATTAGCTTCGATATAAATTACGTCTCCAACTGTAACCTTTTCTTTTTGTATACTCTCATAAATACTGGGATCTAATTTTAATTGTTTTGTCCCTTTAACGGTTTTAAGACCAATGATCACATGTGATAATGTTTTTCCATAACCACCCAAAGGATTCTCCATTTCTTCAGGTGAAAGCTCAGTTACTTCCCCTTCATATACTTCTTTGGTTTCTTTTATTCGTAACCCTATTTTTTATAAGAAAAAAAAAAAAATTGAAATTAATTTAAAATAAATCCTTTAAATTTTCTTTAAAATTTAAAGTAAAAAAAAAAAAAAAAAACCTTGATTTTATAATATACCTATTGCTCTTCGAAAATTTTCCATTAATACTTCTGTTTTTTTGACCTCAGAAGAGTACACCTCACTACCAACCATTGGACAAAAAGGTACTTTTGGTCCTAACTCTTGGGCTATGGCTAGAGCAATAGCAGTTTTTCCAGTACCAGGAGCTCCAGCCAAAAGTAACGCTCGACCCGCCATTCTCTTTGATTTTATTAAATCAACAATAATTCCGCACGCCTGCAAAATAAAATCGTATTTCCTTTTTGTTAAGTATAATTCTAAACGTAAATTCGTCACATTTAGTTTACTACGGAGTTCTTTGATTAATAATATACCTCACGAGCAGAATTTTGACCCACAAAACCGTCCGCAACCTGATATGCTCTACCTTCTTCATTTAAACCAAGTCCTTTAATATGTGTATGAGGAGCGATGCGCTGTTCACGCGTCGTACTTCTTACTTCAGTGATTTTCATTAAGAATAAAATTTATTTTCCGCGTAAAGATAATAATAACCCGAAATTATGAAAGTTATGTGATACACCAGATGGATTTTCAATAAATAAATAAAAAAATAAGTATTTATTTGTCACAATGGCGTGATATGAATTTTATTAATAACCGAATTTTTTTTATTTGGGAAGCATAGAAAAAATTTATTTTACGAAAAATTATTTATATAGATATAACATTTGAACTTTTATAAACATAAATAATTTAATTTACACAAAAAAAAATGAATCTAACGGCGGCGAGTAACGGACTTTGATCTCGAACGTGATGACCTTCTTGATCGACGTTCTTTTTCTCTTTCTTTTTCTTTTTCCCTGTCTTTATCCCTTTCCTTATCACGGTCTTTATCTCTATATTCCCTGTTTCTGTCCCTCTCTCGATCTCTATCCCTTTCTTTGTCCCTGCTATCCTTATTATCTCTTTCTCTCTCTTTTTCTCTATCCTTATCCCTTTCGCTATCTCTCACTTTATCTTTTTCTCGATCTTTATCACGATCCCTTTCTCTTTCCTTATCTCGTTCTTTATCGCGATCTTTATCTTTTTCACGATCTTGAACCTTTTCCCTATCACGTTCTCTATCCTTATCTCTATCTCTCTCCCTTTCACGATCACGTTCCTTTTCCCGGTCTAATCTATCTCTATCTCTATCACGATCACGATCCCTATCTCTATCCCTATCCCTATCCCTATCCCTATCCCTATCTCTATCTCTATCTTTATCTCGTTCACGTTCGCGATCTCTTTCTCGGTCTCTGTCTCTGTCACGATCTCTTTCTCTTTCTCTATATCGATCACCTAAAATAATCAATAAATATTAATAAATTAAAATAAATAACAAATAAAGATATTAAAACTGATTTCAAACCTCTTTCACGTTCTCTTGAACGGGATCGGGATCGACGTCTACGATAATGATAATCTAATAGGAAATTCAAAGTAAAATTAGATTAGTAAAATTAGATTAATAGATTAGATTAATAATTAGATTATTAGAATTGGATATTTATGTTCAATTAGATCCAATTACATTTACATAACATAAATTACCTTTTTCTCTAGACCTTGATCTGGATCTCGTTCTACGTCTTCTTGTTCTGCTTTTACTTCTTGACCTAGATCTAGTTCTACTACGTATGTCGGATTTAGATCGACTACGAGGTACATTTTGTTCAGCAGCTGGTGAATTAACATCCGTCATTTCAACATCATTAGTAGATGTGGAAGGAGAATTATCTGCTGTCGGACCATCAGTATTTAATCTATTTGCAATTCTTAATTGGGCTTCCCTAACACGACGCATAGTAGCTTGAACATCAGTGGAATCAGTTTTTTTGGGTGTCTTGTTAATAGCATTTTTAGAATGATTAACCCTAATGTTATAAATATTATATTATAATATTATGTCGTCGTAATATTATATTATAAAAATTGAGATAAAATAATTAATAGGAAAAATACACATAAATTGAATCATTTGAATTAATAAATAAATAAATAAATATATATATACTTTAATGGTCGATCACCCAACATAACTCCATTCATTTGCATAGCGGCTTGGGCTCCTTCAAAAGTTGCAAACTCTAAAAATGCGAATCTTGTCGGTTGAGCAGGATCTCCCGCCATTTTTACGTAAGCAACTGGCCCACATGCTGAAAAGAATTGTGTCAATTCTGGTTCTGATATTGAAGAATTGATATTTCCTATATAAACAGTTCTCGAAATTTCTTCTGCCTTCGCGGGATCAAATTGAGCAACAGTAGGAGAAATAGAAGGATTTGCTCTTAAGGCAGCTAGAGAAGTTGCAGAAAATGATAAGGCCAAAGGTGATATAATTGGTCTTGTGGGCATAGATTGTGGCTGTTTTGTTGGAAGTGGTCTAGGTGGAGATATCGTTTGTGGAAGAATTTGAGGTAAAATCGGAAGTTGTGTTTGATATGAACTCGTATTAACGTTTAGAGTAGTCGATGAAACCATTAAAGATCGACCCCCTATTTCCACACCAGTCAAATGTAAGGCCGTTATAGCCGATTCCGTCTCCCTAAACTCTATCATACATTCTTGAACACCATCGCCGTGAGGACTACAAAATTAATTCCCGGTCAACTTGTAGTTCTAACCAAAAGTCTTCTTTTGAGTAGAGCGAAATTAAAGACAAGTCGAATAACCTGTTGTATAGATTTATATTTTCAACTTCACCCAAATATTCGAATAATTCTTTTAAAATAGGTTCTGATACAAGCGGTGAAATGTTTGCGACCTGGAGTGAGATAATGCGTAATTTTTTCACTTTTTTTTAAAAATGATTATGGTAATAAATTTTTAAAATAAATAATTTATCGCAAATACCTTTACGACATTATCTACAGACATTTGAGACATTGATGTGATGGGTAGTAAAAAAACAAATCTATTTAATTCATTAATAGAATATCGTTTTTGATTGGTTACTGTATCAAAGATTGTATGGTAAAAATAATTTTGACTTTTACAATTAATTCATCAATTACATATTAAATCAATTTTCAATTACATCAATTGTCTCAAATGGGTGGTTTGTATTTGTTAGATTATGGTGCAGGTAACATTCGCAGTTTGTTGAACGCCGTAAATCATTTAGGCTACGAAATAAAATTAGTTAAAACTCCCGAAGACATTTTGAATGCAGAAGTGAGTAAGCATATGTATCATAATCCCCCCCCTTTTTTTCTTTTTAATTAAAATTATATTGGGTGTGGGTGTCTCTTAAAAAAAAAAATCAGTGTTGATCCAAATATTACTTTGCATTTTGCACGCGATTTTATGAAGAAATTGATTTTTCCAGGGGTTGGTGCATTCGGAAGTGCGATGGAATTTTTATCCTCTAAAAATTATTTGGAACCTCTAAAAAAATATATTTCATCGGGAAGACCTTTCATGGGAATATGTATTGGTATGCAAACGTTGTTCGATAATTCTGAAGAAAGTCCAAATGTTCCTGGATTAGGAATTATTCCGGGTACCGTTAAGCTCTTTAGTAAATCTGATAAATCGGTACCACATATGGGATGGAACAGAGTAATAAATTTAAAGGAAATCAAAAACATTAATGACGACAAAAAAGACGATGACGAACAAGAAGACATCAATTTCGGAATTAAAGAAGATTCCGTTTATTACTTTGTTCATTCCTATTCAGTGCCATATGCCAATGAACTCAAAGAATGGACACACTCCACGACCCAATACGGAAAAGAAATGTTTATAAGTGCAATTCAAAAGAATAATATTTTTGCTACACAATTTCATCCTGAAAAGAGTGGTTACGCCGGTCTAATAATATTGAGATCTTTCTTAAAAGGAAAAGGAATTTTAGACATCTCTGATCGAAATGTAATAACAAAGAATCCAGAATTATTATCACAAGATAGTTTCACCAAAAGAATAATTGCATGTTTGGATGTAAGAACTAATGATGAAGGAGATTTAGTTGTAACTAAAGGGGATCAATATGATGTGAGAGAAAGAGATACTTCGGGACAAATTCGCAATCTTGGGAAACCTGTCGATTTGGCACGACGATATTTTAAAGAAGGTGCCGATGAAATCACATTTTTAAATATTACAAGTTTTCGTAATTGTCCATTAGCCGATTTTCCAATGTTGGAAATTTTAAAATTAACTTCTGAAACAGTTTTTGTTCCGTTGACTATTGGAGGAGGTATTAGAGATGTTACCGATCCAGATGGTAAATTTCATTCCGCACTTGAAGTGGCGGGTGAATATTTTAGATCTGGAGCAGATAAAGTTTCAATTGGTAGTGACGCTGTATATGCCGTTGAGAAGTATATTTCCAATAATATGAAGTTATCAGGTGACACTGCTATTGAAACTATCGTTCATGCCTATGGGTCTCAAGCAGTTGTTATTTCTGTTGATCCAAGACGCGTTTATGTTGAATCACCAAATGATGCACCAAAACATCACGTAATTCATACGAAATATCCGGGTCCACGAGGAGAAAATTGGTGTTGGTACCAATGTACCGTGAAAGGTGGTAGGGAAGGAAGAGATATTGATGTTCATCAACTAGTTACTGCTTGTGAAGCTATGGGTGCCGGAGAAATACTTTTAAATTGTATGGATAAAGATGGTACTAATTCCGGTTATGACCTCGAATTGATACAAGATGTAAAAAGGGATGTTAAGATACCAGTTATTGCGTCAAGCGGGGCAGGAAAATTAGAACATTTTTTTGAAGTATTCTCTGAAACAAAAGTGGAAGCTGCACTTGCCGCCGGTATCTTTCATCGAAATGAAGTACCTATTCAAAGTGTCAAATCTTATTTAAAAGAAAAAAATTTTCTAGTGCGAAATGATTGTAGAAAATTGTAACGTTTAAATAATAATCATATTAAATAAATTAAATGATAAATATTATTATCTCCCATTACGACAAAGCCCTGCTCAAATATCTATGTGTATTATTTGTATTTATAAATCATTTATAAAAATAGATGAATCCCTCATAAATAAAGTACAAGATAAAGAATCTAGTAAACAAAATATTTGTACATTAAGTTTAATAAAACGTTCAATATTGAAAATATTAAAAAATATTAAATATCCAATTATTATTTACAGAGAAATTCTGCATAAAGATAAATATCAATATTATTTAGAAATAATAGAAATTCGCGAAACTCGTTCATTGTAAAAATAATCTATAGATAACATTAATTCGTTTCGGATTAACGTAAATCGACCATTTCCAAATTCATTTTCTTCATCTCAACATGACCTTGAAATGAAATTTCCTAAAAAGAATAGTCTAATGAATAAAAAATTTCTCGATAACCTTTAATAAAGGAATTACAATACCGATTACAATACCTTTTCAATAATAGAATCCGAATTATGTGGATGAAATCCTCTTTCAGTGCATTGAAGCACCGTTTGCAAACCTGGTGGATTTGTAAGACGAAAAATTCCAAAACTATACGATTATATATTCAATAAAAAAAAAAAATGAGAATCTCTATTCCTTGGGTTTTAATAATATTTGTAAACAACTATTTAAAATCATAAGAAAATTTACTTTGGATTATGTTTTGGTGAACACACTATGGCTATTGCCTCGGGAGAAATGACTTGATAAGAAGAATGTGTGTGTAAATCCATTGAACTCATGAAACATGTTTGAGAAGGATGTGTCTAAAATTCATCAACATGCGGAATATGAAAATTATAAACAAGTTAAAACAAAATGATTAACATATAAAAATTTTATGAGGAATTACGTGGATCCAACCAAGCATCATCAGACCATGTAATTCTTGGTATTCAATAAGTTCTTCTTCGTTAGTCATTGTACATGTATCAGAAGTTGCGGTTTGTTTTGGAATGATGAGAGTCGTAACGTAAAAAACATTACGCGTCTAAAATAACAATGTATATATAAGTTAAATCTTACAAATGAACAAAGAAATGAATATTTAAAGAAATAAAAAATACCAATAAGTAATTCATATATATATTACCAAAGTTCCAAATAATATTCCGCAAGTTTCTAAATTCTTGGAAGTATTACCTGATGCTATTCCGACAAACGTTTCATTTATGTTATTTGGAAGGCACACTTTTCGCAAACCTTCACCACCTTCAGTGTAAGCTGCGAAGTCTGTACATTAAAAATATATTCATTCTTTATTACTTTTATTTCCAAGTTATGATTGCTAGTAATTTATAATAAAATATATAATGAAGCACGAATATTATACCTGGTGGAGGCTCAACTTCTTTATTGTATTGAGTATTCAAAATATGATTGTATTCGCTTGGTTTGGGTGGTAGTTGCGGCGGTTCAAACTTTATTTTCGGAGGTATAGCTGGAGGAGACATCGATGTTATTGATGGTGCCTCTCGAACTGAATATATATATCTAAAATGTATTAACCATTTTTAAAATAAATTATTTTTAAACATTTATGATCATCTCGGATTTCTTGGCGTGTTGTAACATATAAAATATGGATAACAATACCCATCGCTCTGATTTCGCATTGAAATACCGGGATATTGTACCTGCTAGAAAATTTTTCAAACGTTAAGATTGATATACGACGTATCGCTCAATGAATAGTCATAATATTCCTCGTGATTCGAAATTTTTTTTACCGTAATTGGCGGTGGTTCTTCGATAACACTGAAGTGCATAATATTAGATTCAAAACTTTTTATGATAAAAGTACATATAAAAAAACAAGGTTTTTACAAATATGACATACATTGCTCCCGAGGAAGTCTGATGATGAAAAGGCAAGCCTTTTAACTGTTCAGCAAGATTCCACTCGGTTTTTTGTGTAGGCGTAGGAGGCTTGGGAGATGACGCTTGATTAACCTGAGAATTCATACGATTCTGAGCTGCCGTTTCAGCGAGTGCTGCCTCGGCAATTTTTTGAAAATGGTCGTTCAATATAGGTTTCAACTCTGACATTTCATTAAGAACGACCTTAGTGTTCTTATATAAATAAATTTTAAAATAAACTTTATTATTGTATTAAAATATAATTATAAAATTATCAAATTCACAAGTCATATAACAACAATTAATACCTTAAAGAGTTCATTTTTTGCGTTTTTGTGTTCAACTTTCTTGTAATCTGGATGAGTTGGTAGTTTTTCGAGTGCAAGCCTAAAAAAAATGTAAACTGTTATATAATCCCGACTATTTGAGGATTTTACAAAAAGTAAAGTATTGTGAAATTATTTACGTGGCATATCTCATATAGAATTTGTACGCGTTCACCAAATCACTTTCTTCTTTGTAGCGATTTGCCTAATTCAGAAAATATATATATTTAATAATAAAGACAATAAAGCAGCTTTATTTTATATTTATCTACTGAATAATACCTGTTGCAACAGGGAATTCGCAGAACGGAAGTAAATTTTTAGTGCACACCCAGGTATAAACTTCATTTGGGATGCATCGTCCACGAGTTGTTTCATTGCATTTGATGCTTCTTCAGATGGATCCATTGTCATATAGAAGTTTTACGTTTTGCGCTATGAATTCTGGCTGATCTTAAATTTGCATGATATTCGAACGGTGATAAATATATAACCCTGATAAACCCTAATCCTAACCCATGCATTTAAACACGTGGGTTAAATTTTTTATGGTACAGATTTCTTTTATATTATAGTATTTGAATGTATTTATGAATGATGCAATTTTAGCCAATAAAAATTCAAGAAAATATATTCACGTGTTTATATAAAATTATAAATTTCATTTTTTTTAAAGTAAAATTATAATAATTAATTATTTTTAGTATATTCTCAAATTTGATAGATATAATTAAATTCAGGAACTTTAACTCCAGTAAAAGTTGATCAATTTAAGTCAGAACAAAATTTTAACTGATAATCCTGAAAGCTGATTCCGAACTATCAATTTCTATGGTTAATATTTTATTTTTATATCAAGATAGCAAACATAATAAAGTATAAAAATTTTACTTGCTCTTGATTACGAAATGCATTTGTCACTTGTTCGGAGTGTGAAGAAGGATATCATTTTGCGGTCGAGGTGGTGGGGTCAAATAAATTAGAAAATTCACCTACATTTTCAATAACTAAATGCTTTAGAAATGTTACCATACCATTAAAATTACCAAATTTTTTATTAATTCGATTGCATCATTGGATAAATTTTCATCTGATATTAAAAAGGGAAGAGAATTGGTCTTGGAAGAAGATGTGGATGATTTTTCACAAAAACGAATCATCATCTTCGTTATCATCATTATCACTGCTATCCTGTTCATACAGCAAAGGGTAATCAGTTGTGGGAATGGTTAAGAATTTTAGTCCAGTTACTATAAACCTAATAACAATAATTACCTTGTCAGTTTTGGTACTTTTTTTGCTCTTTCGACATTAGAAGAACTCTTCACAGTCCGTTTATCCATTTGACTTGTGTCTCCTTGAGAATTTACAAATAATATAGATATATATTCGGTCTGTTTTTGTACCTTAAAGAAAAGACATTGATTACAAAATATTTACTAATTTTTTCGTCAATCTTGTATCTGAAGCAACTTCCAATTTATCGTTTAAATTTTCAATCTTCATTGATTCTTTATATAATAATTTTCTTGATTTAAACTCGTCCTGAAAGAATCAAATACTTTCAATTCTATAATCTTGTTAATCCACTGTAATTTCATACTTACCCTCTTTTCTATTCTCTCAAGTAAAATTTTAATTTCTGGCCTTTTAACAGTTTCATCAAAAGTAGAATATATTGTAGAAGCCTTGTTTCGTGCATAAAGCAACAAATTTTGTCAAGCGCTGATTGATTTAACTTTCTTTTTTATAGCATCAAGAATTGATTCTACATCATCGAAATCCATAACGTCACTGTCTAATAGGTGTTGAAGACAAGTGCGTACTGACTATTCTTTATATGGTATTGTCTGAAAGAAAGAGATGGTCTAGCAGAATAAGGAAAAAAGAAAAATTTTAGTAACGATGTATATATTTCAAAAAGGTTTGGTTTGGTAATACTAAATCGGCAATGATGATATTCTGGCAAAGAACCCGCTAAGAGGTGTACACCGAAGGGGTTCTGAAACACGTTCGGGTAGGACATTAGGGAGTGTCTTTTCAAGCATCGGCCCGCTAAGAGGTGTAAATTGAAGGAGTTCAGCAGGCGCTGAAACACGTCCAAGGACATTAGGCCAAGCATCGGCCATATGTGATTCGACAATGCGAGCACATGGGCGCAGGACCGTTTGATTTCATAATTTATTAACAAAATACTAACTTTATTTGACATAGTGTCTCAATTTCGATTCAAGTTTTTAGTTCTTTGTCTGCTTAATGTTTATGTAATATAATTAAGTATTTCAGGTCATGTGATGTCTACGCAATACGTGATTTTTCACCAAATATTTTAAGGTATGACGATAAACTGTACAGTACGAAAAGCTATTTTGTACTGTACGATTTTACATAAATTTTGTACAAAAATCGTA